AAGATGAAAAATGGTCCACCTGTCTAGGGCACTCTCCATTAATGGAGCTTTCAGGCCTGAAAGTTGCTCTGGGTGAATTTTTTACTTTGTAAACTTTTTAATTTTTTTTGACTTTTTGATTCTTGTAATAAACTGTTAGCTTAAAATACAAAAATATTTTCATGTCCTTATTCTGTAAGCTTTTTTCTAATTTTTAAAAACTTCTTATAGTTTATTGTTAAAAACTAAGACACACATACGTTAGCCTTGGCTAATCCTGACTACCCAGGGTCAGGATTATCAACATCACTCTCTTCCACTTCCATATCTTGTCCCGCTAGGAGGCCTTTAGGTGCGGTAACAGACATGAAACTGTTACCTCCTAGGATAACATCCTCTCCTGCATAACTCATAAAGGACCTGCCTGAGGCTGTTTTACAGTTAACTTAAAAAAAAATAAGCAGAAGGAGTACAGTCTAAAGATAAAAAGTATAGTATAGTAAATACATAAAGCCAGTAGCCAAGTTGTTTATTATCAAGTATTGTATACTGTACATAATTGCGTATGCTGTATTTTTACATGTTTGGCAGCCAGTAGGTTTGTTTACGCCAGCATCACCACAAACACAGGAGTAATGCAGTGTGCTGCAGTGTTACCATGGCTACCCATCATCATTAGGCGATAAGAATTTTTCAGCCCCATTATAGTCTTATGGGACCATCTTCGTATATGGAGTCTGTTGACTGATTAATGTCACTGTGTGCCACATGACTGTATTTCTGTGGGTTTTGACAAATGCACACTCATGGCTCCACCACTAGTCATGAGTCAGAACACTTCCATATATGCTGTGTTTTAGAAGAAATTATTAAAAGTTGTTTGATACTTACAAATCAAAAAAGTTTTTGTGTATTTTACTGATATTCTAGGTTAGTTAAAGGGAGAAATGTGTTTGAATAATCAGGCAGTTAGGATACTAAGAGAGAAGAGAAGAGAGATTTCAGTTCTTCTTTTCACTATGATTTGGTATTTATTGTTATTCCAGAACATGGATTTGTTTTTCTAGCTTTTAAATAAATGATATTTTTCATATAACAGATTGAGACTTTTTAAAGAGAAATAATTCACAAAATGTAATCAAATACAGCATATGCTTTTAAAATGCTACTTTTCTCAGTTCTAATTGCTCTCTGCTCTTCCTTGTTCACCCCATAAGCAAAAAGAAAATTTAGAAGTGACAAAATCTTGTCCTAGTGTTGTTTTAGTATTGATTAGTCTGGAAAGAGTTTTATGCCACATATTTTTATCACTTATGTAGGACAAATTATATTTATAAGTAGATCTAGGTTAAAAGACATGAGATATAATTAGTAGGAAAGAGAATTCTAGCATGTGGAATTGTGAAAAATGGCTCAATTTTGCCAGAAATAACAGTGCAAGGCTGAGGCATGGGAATCATTTGAACCCTCGAGGTGGAGGTTGTGGCTTGCTGAGATTGAGCCCTTGTATGCCAGCCTGGGTGACAGAGGGAGGCTGTTTCAGAAAACAAACAAACTGCAAATTAAAATACCATTTTCACCTGCTGACTTGGAGGTGTGAGTGCCTATGTCTATACCATAAAGAGATGCAGAAAATGAGTAAGAATGAATACCCCAATCTGGTAAGGGTATACTGAATCTCACACTCTAATATATTAATGAACTGCAGATAGCATTAGAATTTCACACTGATACAGTATTTGTAAGGAAAGTGTAGTCACAGTAATGAAAAACACCAATTTGTCAGACTGATGCAAAATTATGGGACTAATGGGCATTTTCTTTAAAATTTTTTTCCAGAATATTTGTGATGGGAAAATTACATATAGTTGGAATTCTACATTTTTCAAGACATGATTGTGTAAAAGTTACATTTTGCTTTGATTTTTAAATATTAAACATGACTGTGCACCCTGAAATCTGTAGCACAGTGGTTTTCAATATTTAGAAAAATGAAATAGTTATATTTGCCTAATTCTGAAGGAATATAGTAACTGTATGGTAACTAGAAGTGTACTACGAAAAGGATTTCAGTTAAGCCAATAATGAGTATTCATTCTTGTGTTTTGTTTTTTTTTTAAAGACACGTGTAACCTAACCTAGTCCCTTGTTACTTAAATAAGAAATATTCCTCTCTGAGAAATTTTCATTCGTGATCAGGATTGTAAATGAGTTTTGTATTACCTTGAAGGTAGTAAGCATGGGAAATAGGAGTACCAGAGTCAGGAGTCTTATTTCTTTCAGCATCCATGAAACTGTGGCTAGCTTATTTGATAAAAGTAAAGTGAAATCTTTGACACTTTATAGTTAATTATTATTTTCATAGATACATTTTTGGTATAAATGGGATTTTTAAATAAGAAGAACAGTAAGATTATTGTAGAAATTCAAAGAGTAATAAAAGAATGTGTGTGGTGTGTGTCTTTGTGAGAGTGTGTTGTCTATGTATTTAATAAGAAAAGTATGCCAGAACACTGAGGTAACTCATAAGTAAGTAACTTTCTTAGAGCAATTCCCTTCTGCTGTCTTTAGTGGATTACCCTGCTTGACTTCCATTCTTTTCATAGAGGGTCACAGTCTCTAAATATTTAAAATAATATTAGTATTTTATTTATATAGTTTTTATCTTATTATTTTAAAATGTTTTCAAGGCTCAAAAGAATTTACATAGTAAATTGGTTCATTGTGTATATTGGCAAATACTGAAGAGTTTAAATCTTACTAAATGTATAACAGTTTTCTGTAAGGCAAATTCTATTACGCTTAACAGGGAAAATAACCTCACTTTGCTTTTCAGAATCAAAAGTAAGAACACTTAGTAAAAGTTCTTCTGTGTCATTTTCAACTTTGGGTATATTGATGAGGCAGAGAAATAAGATTCCATTTTAAGTTTAATAAGATTATTATTTTACTTTGGAAATGTATTTTGTGTGTATATATAAAATACATACATAAAATATATGTAAAAATATATAATACATATAAAGTACATTTCCAAAGTTATATATATATAAAACGGACTGCAAATATATATATACATATATATACATGTGTGTATATATGTATATATGTATTTGCAAATTTAGTTATATACACACTATACATATATACACACGTGTATATATGTACATATGCACACATGTGTGTATATATGTATATATACACACATGTATATATATAACTAAATGCAACATGTGTGTGTGTGTGTATGTATGTGTGTGTGTGTGTGTGTATATATATGTATATGACTAAAGGCAAGATAACCTCACTTTGCTTCTCAGAATTTAAAAGTAAGAAAAATTAGTAAAAGTCCTTCTATGTCATTTTCAACTGTTTTGGGTATATTGATGAGGCAGAGAAATAAGTTTTTATTTTCAGTTTAATAAGCTTATTATTTTACTTTGGAAATGTATTATATGTATATATAATATACTTACATAAAATATATGTAAAAATATATTATACATATATATAAAATACATTTCCAAAGTTATATATATATAACTCAGACTGCAAATATATATATATGTATAACTAAATGCAAGTAATTGGTTTGTTTTGAGGTTAAGATCAATTTCAGTTTATATCCTTTGGTTGTGCCAAAATTGTGTCTTTCAAAAAAACAAACACAGCCGAGTCATTAGCTATAATTTTTCTTTTTCATACAGTTAGCATGCATGCATATCTGTTCTCTCTCTAACGATTACTATGCTCTTTTTCCAGATACTTTCCTTCCCTTCCTCCCTTCCATTTCTTTCCATTTATCTTTTTTCCTTGTTCAGGTGGGTGCAAAGCACTGCAGCAAGTCTTTTACCTTAACTCAGGGTAAGATGTCTACCTTCTCTTCTCTCTTGTTGTATATGTGCTCAGTCTCTCTGAGTCACTTTTACTTTTTCACTTGAGAGGGGAAAGAGTTTACTTTTCTCTCTGATTTCTAGAGTAGTAGAGCTTGGTTAAATGGCACAATTCAAGCCTCTGTCTGCTGACCACTGATACTTGCTTGGTTTTCAATGGCAGGGAATTTCTTTTCTTTATTTGTAGGAATACAGTGCTGTAGAGTTGTTAACTTCTCAGACTTGAGTTTAAGTAAAATGAATGATCTTAAAGATAAGAGCCTTGTTTTACCTTTTTGTAGAGACAGGGTCTTACTATGTTGCCCAAACTGATCTTGAATTCCTTGGGCTCAAGTGATTCTCCCACCTTGGCTTCCCAAAGTGCTAGGCGTTACAGGTGTGAGCCACCATGCCCAGCCATTAGAGCCTTCTATACAGAAACTACAATGCTGTCTCCTCCCAAACCTCTCTAGGAATAGAATATTACTAGTAGCCCAGCTTCACCTGTGCTGTCTCCCAGTCTCTATGCCTCCCAGACTAGCCACCATACTGACTTTTACCACAGTAATCAGTTTTCCTATTTTTGACTTTAATATAAGTAGAATCATATAACACTCTTGTGTGTATAGTTTCAGTGTTGTATTTGTGGGGGTGATTGTGAGCCTGTAGTTTTTATTGTTTTGTTTTCTTTTGCTGTGATGCTTGGCTAGAGTAAAGCAGTTATTATTTTGTTTTACTGGGCTTCCCCTTTCTTTGTCCTTTGGGGATAGCAAGAGCTAACTTGAGCCTTTTTTTTTCTTCTGTTTGCCGCCGTTGGTGTTCTTGAATTGCGGACTTCTCTAGCAACTGGTCTGGGATATATAAGGCCAAAAAAGTCTGAATATTAGGAAAATATGTCTTTTCTACCTTTCTCAGGGCAGAAATATGGTTTCACTTTTATCTTTTTTATAAACTTGGACATCATTAGGAAAAAGAAAAAAAAATTTATACATTTATGATCAATTAACAGTGAATATATTCACCAAAGCAAGGTCTTTTAACAGAAGTTAATTTGGGGTAAAATATAATCTCATGCAATTTTGTTTATATGAAATTCAAACAAGAGGACTTTAACTCTTAGTAAATGTAAATTTCTGTGTTTACTTGTAGAATCTTCTAGCTGAAAAAGTAGAGCAGCTGATGGAATGGAGTTCCAGACGCTCAATCTTCCGAATGAATGGTGATAAATTCCGAAAATTTATAAAGGCACCACCTCGGAACTATTCCATGATTGTTATGTTCACTGCTCTTCAGCCTCAGCGGCAGTGTTCTGTGTGCAGGTAATTTATGTCTTTAAGAAATACTGAAACAAATATCCATGGCTTACATATGTATTTTTTATGTTTAAGATATATATAAGATAATTAAACAGTTGTTTAATAGTCAAATATAACTGCATTTAAAAATAAGCTGAAAAATCAGTGTATTTTAGAAAATGATATGGATAGGCTAATATTCTTTTATTATGGGCAGATAAAATATTTATTGACCAGTTGCACATATAATCATAAAACTGTTTTTTCATCTTTATATTCTGCAGATTGCCTTGTAGGTCACTCAGTTACAGCTATGGTTAATGAAGTAGCCCCCTTAAATATATTCTGTTTTAAATTTTTAATAGAGAGTACTCACTTTTACCTAGGGTAACCCGTTTAATTTTTGATACTGCCAGTGAGTAGAAATTTCTTTTTATGCTATGGAAGTAAACAGTTTTAAATGAATGAAGTATTTGTCAGGAGGAACAAATTAAAGAAAGCTTTGGACGAGTATACATACTTGGCCAAAAGTATACAGCAAATACTTATTTAAATCAAAATTTTTATTTTGAGGTTAATTGTAGGTACACATCTTTTATCCAGTTTCCTCCAGTGGTAACCTGATGTAAAACTATAGTACAAATTCACAAGCAGGGTATTGGCATTGATATTGTGGACAGTTCTATTACTGTAGGAATACTTTTTGCCCTTTAAAGTGACACCCAGCCTCCATTGTACTTCTTACCTATAGAATTTGACTTCTGACCTCTGGCAATCACTAACCTGTTCTCCATTTCTATAGTTTTGTCACTTCAAGAATCTATGTAGATGGAATTGTATAGTACATGACCTTTTGGGTTTGGCTTTTAAAAGTTTGTCATAATTCTTTAAAAAAATCTGTACAAGTTATTATATTTATCAATGATTAATATGTTAAATTACAGAATAATATGCCATTGTCTGGATGTACTGCAGTTTATTTAACCATTCATCTGTTAAAGGACATCTGGGTTGTTTGTAGCTTTTGGCTGTTGCAAATAAATGTCTTACCTGCATTTTTCTGCAGGTTTTCCTGTGAACTTAACCATTTTTTTTTCTGGAAAGAATGCCACAGAGTGTGGTGGTTAGGTTGTATGGTAGTTTCTATTTAGTTATATAAGAAACAGCCAAAATGTTTTCTGGAATGGTTGTATCATTTTACATTCTAGCCATCAGTCTGTTTAGTTGCTGCTTATCCTTACCAATTTGCTGTTGTGACTATCTTATTTTAGCCATTCTGATTCATATGTAGTGATATCTCATTGTGATTTAATTTTGCATTTTCCTATGACTAATGGTGTTGATCATCTTTTCATGTGCTTGTTTGTCATCTATATATCCTCTTTCATGAAGTGTCTGTTGATAGTCTTCTGCCCCTTTATAATTGGATTCTTTTAAATGAGTTTTGAGGGTTCTTTATATATTTAGATACTAGTCCTTTTTCAGATACTTGGTTTTCAAATATTTTCTTCCAGTATGTGACTTGTGTTTTCATCCTCTTTACAGGTCTTTTGCTGATTTTAATTTTGATGAAGTTCAGTTATTAGCTTATCCATTTACAATTCTTTCTTTTTTTGTCAAATTAAAGTACTCTTTACCTAGCCCTAGATCCCATAGATTTATTTTTTTTTTCCTGAAAATTTTCTCGTTTCATATTTAACAGTTTCATCTGCTCTTTGATTGAAAGCATGAAATATGTCATCATTAAGTATGATACTAGCTGTAGGTTTTTTATAGATGGCATTTATCAAGTTGAGGAAGTTGGTCAACTTCCTAGTTTGCTGAGAGTTTTTATTATGAAATGAGGTGCTGCATTAAACATTTTTTGTTGGTGTCATTTTATATAGTTTTTCTTGCCTATGGATATAATCACTTACATTGATTGGTTTTCAGATGTTGAACTGGTCTTGTATACAGGAATGGATCCCATTTGATTATGGCATATTGTTTTATTATGTGTTGCTGGGTTCAGTTTGCTAATATTTTTTTATTGAAGTTTGTTTGATCTAAATTAATGCTAAACACTGTAGTTTTCATTGTTTATAGTGTCTTTGTTTAGTTTTGGTATCAGGATAATATTGTACTCATAAAATGAGTTGGGAAATGTTACCTATTTTTTTTTTTTTTTTTTTTTTTGTGAAATGTTACCTATTTTAAGTTTTGGAAAATATTGTATAAAATTTGTGTTAATTCTTCTTTAAATATTTGGTAGCATTTTCTGGTAAAATCATCTGGGTCTAGAGATAACTTTTCCAGAAACTTAAGGACAGCACAGTTTGTCTGTATCTTCTTGGCTGAACACATGCTCAAGAGCAAACATGTTTTATATTGTCACTCCATGTGCCAGGATTCGCCATGTTGTATATTCATTGTAGACTTGGTTTAGGCTTCTACATCACTCTGAGCTGTAGTGGAGACTGAAGTTATTAGTAACTTGGGTCAATGTAAAAAATCAGTTTTACTCAGATTAGATTGTAGAAAGAGATTAAGAGTGTTCTGCAATTTCTAAGAAGCATTTTGTCCTAACCTAATAATGACTGTGTAGGGACATGGTTAAAAGTAAGTAGAGAAAATGATGAGCAAAGTATTTTGAAAAACAGCACGTTAGGTGATTTTGAGTTCCACTACTATCAAATTTGAGGACCAGTACTTGAGTGGGTATTTACACTGTTGTCAGAATCAGGCTAGCACGTATGGATAGAGTATACATACCTTAATGATGGCAGTGGCAGGGCATCCGGAGAGGCATGGGTGGTAGTGGTGGGTGTGGCTGCAGGACAGCAGTAGCAGTGGGGAGATCCCTGTGCCTCACACCCCCTGTGCCCCACACCCCTTGTGCCCCATGTCCTTGAAACAGCTAACTGTGCCACCTGCACCCTCCTGAGGCTGAGTGGGACCCACTCCCAGGCTCAGAGCCTCCGCCACTCTGGACCCTGGCCCCAGTCACTGCTCTCACGTGCCACTGCTATGGGGAGTGGGGAGAACACAGACAGTCCTTGGAGCCCTGGGGGCTGCTGCAGTGGGGCCAGGCTGAGTCACCTGCTGGTAGGGGAGCAGTGCAGTTGGGTCCAGAGGAATGGGCAGAGAGGGGACCTCAAGACAGAACTGGTTTCGGTACAGTGCTGTGCTCCATGGAGTCAGTAGGTGCTGGGAGCAGATCGTAACCCTGCCCTGCTGAGCACATTTGTAGCCGCCCAGGTCATGTCTGTGGACCAGGGCATCCCTGTGCTCTTGGGGGCTAGGAACATGCAGTAGCCTTGCCCTCCTGGGCACAGCTGCAGCGGCTCACCTGTGGCTGGGGACCCAGGCCTCTGTCTCTACTTTCAGTGGCCCAGGAAGACCCCCTTACCCCCACAGGCTTGGAGGTGTTTGCTCCCACTGCCTGGCCTCTCCTTGTTCCCAGTGGCTGCTCCAGTCTTGGAGCAAGGATGGGGCTGAGAGTCGGCACTGTTGCAGCCTGGCTGGATGTGTGTATGCTCAGGGGAGAGCGGACATGCCTGTCCCCTGCTGCCTCAGGCCACTCTAGACTTCAGGTACAAGTGAACATGGGAGGGAGGCTGAGCGGGTCCCTGAGGATGCCTGGTGTTGGCCTTCAAGTGCACCTTGGCAAGAACAGCATGGGCACCATGAATGGCGGCAGGAGGCCAATAGGCTCTGGGGTGGACGGGTCCTGACCAAGCCCCACCTTCAAGCCCTAGAGGGCCTGAAACCTGAGGGCTGGACTGCCTGTCTTGCTGACCAGAGTGGGAATGTGTGGTACTTTCCGCTACACTTGCCCTTGGGCCAGTCAGTGCACACTGTATCCCCTCTGAGGCCCATGAAAGCCCCAGACTCAGCAAAACTCAAAGAGAGGATGGAGAGACTATGAGCCGAAGAGATGACCAGCTGTAGAGATAAACTGCCTGCTCTAGGGTCTCCTCTGTGCTGAGAGCTGAGTAGACAATATTAGGACCAGCTGCAGAGAGGTGCTGCTACTTTTTCTGCTGAGAGCTGAAGAGACTGCTGGACAATTTGCCTGGCAGAGAGGAGCTACCCTCTCTACTGAGAGCTGAAGACTTCTCAAGACACTTTGGCAATGGAGAGGAGCTGCAGGTCCCCTCTGAGCTGTTCTGTTTCTCAATAAAGCTCCTCCTTGTCTTGCTCACCTTCCACTTGTCTATGTACCACATTCTTCCTGGATGCAGGACAAGAACTTGGGAAATGCTGAATGACAAGACTAAAAGAGCTATAATACAAAGAAGGCTGGAACATGCCCTTTGCTTGCCATGTTGTGGACAAAGGGAAGAAAAAAGTTGCAGCCCTTCAGGGAGCCCATACCTGGGAGCTCCCTGAGCCAGGGCTGTGACTCCCTCTTTGAGGCCCTGTGGTTCCTGGTGTCTCCAAGCTTCCAGGTGCAACTGCATTTCCCTTTGCCAGCTGGGAAAGCTGCTTGCAGTGTGCCTGGTCCAGCTGCAGCTTCCCAGGAAGCCAGTGCCTGTGCTGGTTTCTGGAGCTGCACACCCTTTTACAACCAGCGTGCCTGGCTGTCCTCGATGTTGTCCAGACCCCATGCTTGCTCACACACTCCTTGTCACTCTGTGCCTGGCTCACCCTTGGCAGGCATGGGATCCAGGCTGGTAGTGGGAGCCGAGTGTAGCCTCCCAGTCCGAGTGGGCAGAATGAACCCAGTGGACCAGACTGAAACTCGGGCAAAGGCACTCTGGCCACAGAAGTTTGCATCTGGTGGCTAAGTGACACCCCAAGGATCCTATAACATGAAGGGATGCTATAAAGCCCTACTAAAAAAAAAACCTTAATTTTTGTTTTGTGTAACAGTTCAGCTTCCACTAAAAATAAAACGTTTCAGGCATCCTCTAAATACTGTAAATATTTTAGGAAAATCATTTTTTTGTTGCTAAAAATTGAATGTATTGATTTCCTAAAATCACTAGTATTGTGAAGAAATAATCATATTTTTATAAGTTTAACCTAGAAATGTTATTTAA